AAAGTAGAGGAATGGTTTGAAATCACTAAACTGAGATTGACTGCAAAATTCTACTTGCATCTAGGAAAACTCAAATGCCCGTGTATAAAATGAGACTTAATTGGCTAGGCAGTAACAGCATAGAAGAGAAACCGGGGATTGTAGTAGACCACACTGAATCGGCCAACAGTGATGCTGAGAGGCGTTAACTGAATTGTTGCATGCGTATCATGGCATGTAATTATTCTTTTCTTCTAGGAACAGGAAGGATATATTAGCTGGAGTAATGGTTCCAGTTTTGGTTACCATCATTTAACAAAGGTGCAGACAAATTGAAGGGAGTCTGAGGAGAACAGCCTAATAGCAAGTGGTTTGGAAAATGTGACCTTGAAGGGAAGAGTTTGTTAGTCTATAAAAGAGGGGCCTAAGGAGGATGTAAGACTTCTGATACTGGAAGGTTGTCAGAAAGAGGATGGTGACCCAGTTGTTCTCTATGTCCACTGATGGTAGTACACGTAGTTGGCTTAGTTTGTGGCGAAAGAGATTTGAGGTTAAATGGTGTAAAATGTTAAAGGTGGATAAAGCACTGAAGTAGGTTAATGAGGGGAGTTGTGGGAGCTCCTTTTCACTGGAGTTTTTTAACGGTCTTTATATAAAGTTCTTCATATAAGGGTCTGTGTGGGATAGTCTGGATATCCTTGGTCCTGCCTTAGACCAGGAGATAGAATAGATGAGCCTTTCAGATCCTTCCAGCTTGGTATTTTTATGATTTCTGTAAATGCAGGGCCTGTTGGTAAAGTTCAGATTCCAGTATGATAGGTAATTGTCTTAGAATCTTTGAGTCATAAAAATCTCATGATACTGGAATAGTTCTGGTTTTTGTGTTTTGGTTTTATGTGGGGGGTTTTTTTGTTTTACTGACCTGGATGTAAGCTTACGTTTTAGGATTTACTTACTGAAAGACCGTTACAATATGGTCTGTTTTTTGTTATTTGCTCTCTGTGTTGAAATAGAGATCCCACTTGAACCATGCTCTCTCTCGCTCTGTTTATTTTTCCTCTTCAGGTTACCGAAAGTCTTCACAAGACAATTGTGAAGAGACGAATGTCTCATGTGAGTGGTGGAGGGTCCATTGACCTCTCTGACACAGATTCTCTTCAGGAATGGATCAACATGACGGGGTTTTTATGTGCTCTTGGGGGAGTTTGCCTACAGCATCGTAGCAATGCAGGATTAGCAACCTATAGTCCACCGATGGGCCCAGTCAATGAGCGCAAAGGCTCCATGATATCTATGGTGTCCACTGATGGAAATACAGAGACTCCTGTTAGCAAATTCTTAGATCGATTATTGTCCTTAATGGTCTGTAACCATGAGAAAGTGGGACTTCAGATACGGACTAATATTAAAGATCTAGTGGGTTTGGAATTGAGTCCAGCACTTTATCCAATGCTGTTTAACAAACTGAAGAATACCATTAGCAAATTTTTTGACTCTCAAGGCCAGGTAAGAGTTGAGATGTTATCACGTTTTTATTTTATTGAAAAACATATTGTGTTAAAAATGACAGTTGTTTGAGAATGTGTATACAAGGAACCAAATCAATATTTACTTATTCTGGGGAAATTCTGTTTATATTTTTATTGACTAAATTTCTTGATACCTTAACCGTAGTAAGTAGGGGAATTCTTCCGAGTAGGTCAGTCGGAATAAATACCTGCAGCGGTTAAGATACCTACTGTACAATAATAGAAATATTTATTAGTACTATTTTACACTTCCCTTAGTTATTTTTTGTACAACATGTTTGAAGATGTATGGCTTGGTGTCTTGTCTCTCTAGGTTTTGTTAACTGAGACCAATACACAATTTGTCGAGCAGACCATCGCTATAATGAAGAACCTACTTGATAATCATACTGAAGGGAGCTCAGAACATCTGGGACAAGCTAGTATAGAGACAATGATGCTAAATCTAGTCAGGTAAGATCCCATACATGTTCTCATTGTTTAAAGTTTGTTCCTCGGACAGTGGGTTTCTTAGTCTTTCCACCTCAGCCATGGTCTGTAGAGGGCAGTGGCAGCAATACAGCAAGCTGATCCTCAGCCACTTGGCTGCACTCGAAGTTAAAGCTACTGGGGAATGTGTCTCATTTATATGATCGACTAGTGGATAATTGAGTACAGTGTTGTGAAACACTGAACAGTTCACCCTGATCCTTGGGAACCCCATGACATAAGCCTCCCCTTGTGCTGATGTGAGTACTAGAGTCCAGCTCAAAGTTCAGAGTCCCATCGGTCAGATATATCTCGGCAGAGAATTTTCCTGCATCATTTGAAATCTTCATTAGGCATCCCAAGCTGGTTTAAGGGCCCCTATACACTGAGTGGAAAATCAGCCCCGAATATTTAATAACTAGTTATACAAGTCTAATTCTGGCTGGAATAAAAAAAATGCACAGAAAATAATACAGAGAGTCCTCGACTTGCAACATTTCAAGTTGCAACATTTCGCACGTACAACTTTTATAAATTGACACCCAGTTTCAACTTTATGACGTCAGTTTCGACTTACAATGCTTGATCCAATGCAACGCCACACCAGCGAACAAGTTTGCTGCGTCGCTCATCTCCCTGGAGAACATCTGTCCAAACTTCCTTGGGCACTTTCTTTAAGAAAGCAGACAAGACTGCAGAAAAACTTGCAGCCAAGACTCCTGAGAAGACTCCAGCCAAGAGCCCTTCAAAAAGTCCAGCAGTCACCTCAAAGAAGTCCTTCCAAATCAATATGATTAATGTATTTATATTGTAAATAGCAATGTAGCTATATTAGTAATCTATAATTGATTGAGTACAAAATTCTGGGGTATTTTTGGTGAACATCAGGTATCGGGCCTTGGTTCAGGAACCAATTCTCTGTTTATAACATTGTTTCTTGTGAGAAAATTGGTTCCGAGTTGCAACATTTCGACTTAAGACACGGTTTTCAGGAACCAGTTGTGTCCTAAGTCTGAGGACTGCCTGTATACGTTATTTATTTTAGTTACTGTATTCTGGCACTGACAGTTAGGATGAGATTCCCCAGATGCATGTGGCTTTTTTAAGTCTTTGCTTACTTTCACAGATACGTGCGTGTCCTTGGCAACTTGGTACATGCGATTCAAATAAAAACTAAACTCTGTCAATTAGTGGAGGTAATGATGGAAAGGAGAGATGATCTTTCATTTTGCCAGGAGATGAAGTTCAGGTGAGTATTTGATTATAGCAATTCCCATATAAATATGCTCTGTAAATAAACGAGCCAACTTCGTGCTGTTTGGGGCAATGCTTACGTGCAGAGAAAGAGGAGAGATGAGATGGGATAGGATGGCTCTTTTTTTCACCTTTTTAACGAACATAACTCACTAGTTTGGTTGGTTTTTCTGCATTGAATTATTTGTGCCACAGGGGTCAGGTAGCCTGGAACTATGCCGATGCAGAGTTCAGTGGGATGCAGATGCCAGTTTGTAGATGTGATCAGTACCAGGACATTTACTAAACTGAGTTAATCTAAGGTTGACAGTTCATAGGCTTTTCAAAGGTAAATTTAACCATTCAGATGATGCCCGCAACCATATTAATCTTTTGTCAGATTACTATCGGTTTTCTGTGCTCTGATATTTCTTACAGGAATAAAATGGTGGAGTATCTAACAGACTGGGTTATGGGCACGTCCAATCAGGCAACAGATGAAGATGTAAAATGTCTGACGAGGTAAGAACGGATAATACTGTACTGCTAAAAGCACTAAGGTGTCTCAGATCTCATTTGTTTTGATGATGATATTTAATAACACTGCAAGAAGCTGTTGGTATTTCCTTCATGTAAGGAGGCTCAAAAAAAATCAGTATGGTAAAGACACTTTTTAGCTACAGTTAGATGTATGAGAAAAAGTGAACTGATGCTACTTTGAAGAGAAGATTGTCATGCAGCATGCTAATAGCTACTTCTGCTTAATTAAAATTTTGATTTCTTAATTTTACATTCAGAGATTTGGACCAGGCCAGCATGGAAGCAGTGGTTTCTCTTCTTGCTGGGCTTCCACTACAGCCCGAAGAAGGAGATGGTGTCGAGTTAATGGAAGCAAAATCCCAGTTGTTTCTTAAGTAAATAATACTTTTTAACTATTTCAATTATAGGGCAGCTAAAGGCAAATATAGTACATTGATTTTAATAGAATGAGATTTTCCTTATTTTGAACGAGTTAATCTATAAATGTTACTTTTTATTTTAGATATTTCACTCTCTTTATGAACCTTCTAAATGATTGTAGTGAAGTTGAAGATGAAAGTGCGCAAACAGGTGGCAGGAAACGTGGCATGTCTCGAAGACTGGCTTCACTGCGGCACTGTACCGTTCTTGCAATGTCAAATTTACTCAATGCTAATGTGGACAGTGGCCTTATGCACTCAATAGGTAATGTTGCTAGAGCCAGCTCTGAATGAATGCACATACAATGAGGCATGAACTTTTAATTACAATGTCATACACATCTTTATTTAAGAGTTTACTATGTTGTTATCTTGTTAGGCTTAGGTTATCACAAAGATCTCCAAACAAGAGCTACGTTCATGGAAGTCCTCACCAAAATCCTACAACAGGGTACAGAATTTGATACACTCGCAGAAACGGTACTAGCAGATCGATTTGAGAGATTGGTGGAATTGGTTACAATGATGGGTGACCAAGGAGAACTACCTATTGCCATGGCTTTGGCCAATGTGGTGCCTTGTTCACAGTGGGTAAGCTGTTTCATGCTTCGGGTTTAACCTCTGTAACTCCCACAAAAAATCACTACATAAGACTCAATGGTGAACTTAGTGCTCTGCCAGTATAACAGTAGGTATAAACTGGCAGATTTGGTTATCCAGTTATGCCTTTCTTTATTAGTACGTGGCCTTTTCTCAATTTTTTCTCCAATAGTAAATTGGGTTTGATTTGTTGGGGTCTTCATTTGAAACTAAAGCATGATGGTAGGTTTTTGACTAGTGTGTGGAAAAGTGACTGTGAGCGCATTCATATAATTATAACATTCTTCTTCAGGCCTGGGGTTTTTGTAACCAGTGTGCTTTTTACCTGGGCTTCATGTTTATACACCATTTGAATCTCTGGGCCTTCTCAGCCACCCTTATATTTTGGCATGTTTTGAGTGTGAAATGCGGAGGGCATACATTCTTAAATTTAAGGTTTTCCATGATTTCACAGCAGAGTGTTTGTACTAGCATATGCTGTTTGGTAGCTTTTCATGGTTTAGCCCCTCTCTGCTCTCACACATAGATTGACATCTTCATTACTGTCTTTAAGGATGAACTAGCTCGTGTTCTGGTCACTCTTTTTGACTCCCGGCACTTGCTGTACCAGCTGCTCTGGAACATGTTTTCTAAGGAAGTTGAACTGGCAGATTCCATGCAGACTCTCTTCAGAGGAAATAGCTTGGCCAGTAAAATAATGACTTTCTGTTTTAAGGTATGTTACCTGGTGTTTAGATTTCTGTTTTATTTAAAGAATAACATGAAAAAATATATTCATGCAGAAAGACAAAACTGCTGATGTGTTGCATTAACCTGTGTGGGTGAAAACTTGTCTATATAAATTTGGGTGATTTTTGTTGAAAGTCCATCTATAGTCCATACAGTTGTTGAATTCTTTTTGAGCACTAGGCAGGTTGAGATGGAGGTATTTATAAGGATACACTGTAAAAAAGAGGCCCATTCAGTTGTTAGATACTAACAGAATTTGATGATTTATGCTTTCATTTACTACAAGGGGGAAATAATGAACGGAAAAAAATGCAGCTGGTATATTAATCTTCGTGTCTTTTAGCATTGCAAATTATTGTTGTGGCTCGAGTTACGCTAACCTGGTTATCCGTTCTGATTTACTTTATCGATAGGTTTATGGTGCAACGTATCTGCAGAAGCTGCTGGAACCTTTATTAAGAACTGTGATCATGTCCCCTGAATGGCAGCATGTCAGCTTTGAGGTGGATCCTACAAGGTTTGAGATGTGAAGTGTTCTTAATTATCTGCAAAACTCTCTCCTGTTTGTACTAATAGCACAAGGTTCCTGTTTGCATATTTGGTATCTTTCCCCCTTTTCACAGCTCTGTTTGGTTCCCCTCCCCTCATT